TTTACTGTGTAGGCCAGGCTGGTCTTGAACTCCTGACCTCAAGCGATTTGCCTGCTTGGGCCTCCCAAAGTGCTGGGATGATAGGGGTGAGCTACCATACCTGGCTAGATCATTATCTATTTGGACTTTGATTAATCTCAGTCTTCTCCATTAGGCCTAACTTTAGCTCCCACATAGCACTTACATCATTTTGCTTTTTGCCATTCATTCATTTATTCAATAAATTTTTGTGTTTTTTGGTGTTACTACATGCCAGGAACTGAACTAGTCATTAGGAATATAGAAATGATGAAACGGTTATTTCCACCGTATGGAGTTAATATTCTAGAGGGATGAAACAGATAACAAACACAATAAATATGAAAAATGTTTAGTAAGTTAAGTAAGGTGGTTTTAAATCCTTTGAGAAAAATGAAATGGAAAAGATAGAGGAAATTATGCTACTATTGGTAGCAGTGGAGCTAAGTTTTCAATGAGAAAGTGACATTACAGCAAATACTTGAAAGAAAGGTGAATGAGCCAGGTGAATATTTCAGGAGAGTATTCTTGATTTGGGTTTCTCAAACTTTAATATGCATATGAATTGTTTGGAAATCATATTAAAATGCAGAGTCTTGGGCCTCATTTCCAGAGTTTTTTGCTTCAGAAAGCCTAGGGTAAGGCCTTAGAAATTGGATTTCTAATAAGCTCCCAAGTGATGCCGATGCTACTGGTCAAGATTATGCTTTTCAGCAGTATGCACCAACTCACCTTACTTCACTTTTATCACCCTTCATTGTGTTTTTAGTATACCAACCAGAATGATCCTGTTAAAATAAGTCAGATCACATTACTATTGTTTAGAATGTTTCCCATCAGAGTAAAAGCTAGTGTTTTTACAGTGGCTAGTAGAGCCTTACACGATCTGTGACACTCCCCTATTTCTCTGCCTTGCCCTCATTTGTTTACTTCTCACCCTTTCTCTCGGCTGCATCTGCATGGTTTTCTTGAATTTCCTCAACTGAGAAGGTAGATAACCATCTGAGGACCTGTGCATTTGCTTTTTCCTCTGCCTCAAACACTCATTCCCCAAATGTCCATAGGGCTAGCTCTTTTAAACTTCCGTTGCCTTCTTTTTTCTTTCTTTCTTTTTTTTTTTTTTTTTTTTTTTGAGATAAGGTCTCAATTCTGACACCCATGCCGGAGTGCAGTGCCATGATCTCAGCTCACTGCAGCCTCCACCTTCTGGGTTTAGGCAGTTCTCCTGCCTCAGCCTCCCAAGTAGTTGGGATTTGTGTGTCATAAAATTCATCCTTTTAAAGTATATAATTCTGTCGAGCTGTTGAGTCTGTTTTTTTATTTGAAAAATCTAAGTATTCTGTAATTTTTAGTGTATTCACAAAGTTGTGCTGCCATCACTATCTAATTTTGAACATTTTCATGACTCCACAAAGAAACTCCATACCCATTAGCAGTCACTATGCATTACCTCCTCCTCCTCCCCACTGACGACTATGCATCTATTTTCTTTCTCTGTAGTTGTGTCTATTTTATATAAATGAAATAATACAACATTTGGCCTGTTGTGCCTGGCTTATTTGGCTTAGCATATTTTTTTCAAGGTTAATTCATGTTGTTGCATGTATTGGTACATCATTCCCTTTTATTGCCAAATAATATTCCATTATATGGATATATTACATTTTGTCCTTTCATCAGTTAATAGACATTTGGATTGTTTCCATCTTTTGATTATTCTGAATAATGCTGCTCTGAACATTTATGTAAAAGTTGTGTGGATGTGTGTTTTCATTTTTTCTGGATATATATTTAGAAGTGGAATTGCTATGTTGTATGCTAACTGCATATTTAATTTTTTTTGGTGATAAATACATGTAAGATTTACCATCTTAACCATTTTAACGTTTACAGTTCAGTGGCACTAAGTACATTCACAGTGTTGCACAATGATTACTACCGTCTAATTTCAGAACTTTTTCATCATCCCAAAAGGAAACCCCATGTTCATTAAGTGTTACTTCCCATTCCCCACTTTGCCCAGTCTCTGGCGACTAATACACTTTCTATTTCTGAGTATTTGCCTATTCTAAATATTTCATAGAAATGAAGTCATATAATAAATACGTGGTCTTCTGTGGCTTTCATTTAGTGTCATGTTTTTAAGGTTTATCCATGTTGTAGCATGTATCAGTACTTCATTCCTTTTTAAGGCTGTTGCTATGGACTGGATTATGTTCCCTCACAAATTCGTATGTTGAAGCCCTAACCTCCAAAGTAATTGTATTTGGAAACAGGACTTTTAGGTGGCAGTTAAGGTTAAATGAGGTCATAGGGTGATGTCCTAATCTGGCCTTCTAAAAAGAAGAGAGAACCTCTGTCCTATAAGAAAAGGCCATGTGAACAAACAGCAAGAAAGTAGCTATTTGCAGCCCGAGGAGAGAGCCTTCACCAGACAGTGACCCTGCTGGAACCTTGATCTTGGACTTTTCAGTCTCCAGAATTGTGAGAAAATAAATTTCTGTTGTTCAAGCTGTCCAGTCTGTAGTATTTTGTTGTGGCAGCCTGAGCTATGAATAATATTCCATTATATACATATACCACATTTTGTTTACCCATTCATCAATAATGAATTTTTGGTTTGTTTCCATTTTTGGCTATGGTGAATATTCTCTGAACATTCATGTGCAAGTTTTTGTGTGGATACAGGTTTTCAATTCTTGTTTTGTGAGAGTATTAACATGTAATAAACTAGTGTCTTTGGAACACAATTTAGGATATTCTGCCTCATACTATTTTATTTTATATGTTGATTCTAGAAAATTAAATAATTTTATTTCTGACTTTTAAAGAAGATATGTAGCTTTCTCTAATTCTTTATATTAGCAGAAACAATAGTTTTATAAGATTTGCTGATGTTGGTTGCCTTGTCATACAATGCCAGTTATACATATAGAAAAGAGAAGGTTATATTATTATATTGTCTTCCTGTTACCCTTTTTCATGAAAAGTAGAGATAATACTAGAATTTCATCTTTTCTTACATTTTCATAATAAAATGGTTTCTACAAAACTGAATCATTTTTCCAAATATTAGGACACAATTGCAAATTGCTTATGGTGCATCAGTGTTCCTTCAACTGTAATTTAAGAAACACTTGTGTAACCTAGCCATACTTCTGGTATTTGAGTCCTTTTATAACATCCTTATCTGAGTTTGCCTTCCTATTCTAGAAACTCCTGTACTCTTGTGGTAGGAAATGCACCATCTCTGGAAGCATACCATTTCTTTGTTCAGAAAGTGAGTGCTATTGAAAGGTATCTTGGGCCCTGCGCGGCAGTTCATGCCTGTAATCCTAGCACTTTGGGAGGCCAAGGTGGGCGGATCATGAGGCCAAGAGATTGAGACCATCTTGGCCAACATGGTAAAAGCCCCTTCTCTATTAAAAATACAAAAATTAGCTGGGCATGGTGGCGGGCCCCTTTAGTCCCAGCTACTCTGGAGGCTGAGGCAGGAGAATCGCTTAAACCCAGGACGCAGAGGTTGTAATAAGCTGAGATCACACCACTTCACTCCAGCCTGGCAACAGAGCAAGACTGTCTCAAAAAAAAAAAAAAAAAAAAAAAAAAAAGATAGGCTGTCAGGGTTCCTCTACAGGGCATGCAGTTGGCTTTTGAGGACAGAATGGAGAGATCTGTTGATCTATGAACATTTCTTTTTGGAAATGCTTTTAGATACATTCAGATTCAGTTATTCAACATGACATAGAGTGTTAGCTCTGGTCTAGGCATTATATGAAAATCTGAAGGTAAAAGTAAGACCCAGTCATTAGCATCAAGGAATCCATCTTTTAAGGTAGGAGATAGATAGATGAATATAAATTCCATTACTCTGTAAATGTGAGATAATAGAGGGTAATAGAATAAGAGAATGTCAGAGTGGCTTATGAAACAAGTGGTGCTTAAGCTAAAATTTGAAGGACAGGTAAATATTATTAATTTAATTGGGGGGGCATCAATGGAGAAGGGAATAGCATATGTAAATACACTGAGACTTGAAGCAGCTTTGGTGGTTCATTCTAGCACATTTAATACGAAGTGAAAAAGTGTTGTGGCAAGATCTGAGATTAGAGTTACAGGCAAGTTAGCTAGATTTTTTTCTTTAGGTTTTGGTTTAAATGATACTTACTCAGAGAAGCCTTCTCTGGCTCCCATATCTAAAGTTGGTCTCCCTCTCAGTTCCTTGCTTTTTTCCTTTGTAACATTTATTACAATTTATAATTATTGTGTTTATTGCCTTCATGAGGGCGAGGGACTGTGTGTAATACGCTAAGGAGTTTAAATTTTATTCTGAACTCTTCAAAAGCCTTTTATGTGTTTTAAGCAAGATAATAACATGATTTGGTTTATATTTTAAAAATCGTACTGGTGGGGGAACCTACTCTAGGCTAGGTACATATTGCTAGATGCTGCAGATGCAAAGGTGAAAACATAGTCTATGCCTCAGATTACAATCTAGTTAGGAGGCAGAGAAGCAAAGTAAAACCATTGATGTAGTAGAGATATCCTTGAGTTTGGTGGAAGGAAAGAAGAAGGAGCCTTGTGTGGGTTTGTGGTTTGGAGTATATATATGTTAGTGAATTTAATTCAGTGATTAATCTTCGAGTGGGACTCCAGTTTTTTATCAGATTGACTTCAGAGATTCTACAGGATGATTATTTTATATTAGCTTTGTGTAATGTCTCAGTTATGTATCTCTTGATGGGTAGGTTGGAAGAACAAGCTAGTCAGTTGACCCATGAAGGTTTTTCTTTGTGACTTTTGTTACCATGTATATCTTTTACCTATATTTTATATGTGTATACCAATTTGTACACTCTCCTAAGGAAAATATAAGGAAATAATATTTTTTCTGTGTATAAATTTAATGTCTGTTTTCCATTAAAAATTTAAAAATTTTCCAGTTCTGATGATGATAACTGAGTGATTGCATTCTTTTCTAGGTAAAATGAAGAATGATGAATCTAATAAAGAAAATTCCTCAGAGATGGACTATTTAGAAAATGCCACTGTGATAGATGAATCTACATTGACACCTGAACAGAGGCTGGGGTTGAAACAAGCAGAAGAACGTTTAGAAAGAGATCACATCTTTCGACTTGAAAAAGTATGCTATGTTGTTTTAGTTATTTGGAGGGAAATGTGTGTTTCCTAACTTTTTTCCCCAAGTACAGCTCTTTTTATTTTTCTTTTGTTCATAAGACAAAGGTAGCATTCATCTTTCCTACTTCCCTCTTTTCTCCCTTTCTTCTTTCTCTCTCTCTTTTCTTCCTTGCCTCTTTTTTCAGCAGTTACTTATTATTTATGAGTCTGACTTAATTAATTCATCCCAGGAGTTGGCAAACTATAGTCTACCCCTTGTTTTTGTTTTTGGATGTGTACATCTAACGCCCCCACTGTTTTTGGTAAACATTTTATTGGAATATAGCCATGCCTGTTTGTTTACATATTGTCTATGGCTGCTTTCATGCTACGATGGGAAATTTGAGTTGAGTAGTTGCCACAGAGCTTATATGCCTTGAAAAACATACAATATTTATTCTTTGCCAAAGCATAATACGTCTACCAAAATGTTACTTAGCCCCTTTACAGAAGAAACTTGCTGACCTCTGATATAGTCACTAATCAGATACTGAGCGCTTGTTTTGTGCAAGGTGTTATGATAGGCACTGCGGATGTATTAGTGAAAATGGCAGTTTCTTCCCATTAGAAGTTAAAAGTTCATTCAGATTGGTGGAAATAAAATGGCAAATGCCATAATACACTGCACTTCTTCCTTTTTCTCTTTTCCTATATTTATTGTATCTTATTCCTGTGTATTAATTTCTTAACCTAGAAATACACATTCTTGGCCTCAATAAAAGCACTGCTAGGTTTTGAAGGAAAGAATCACAAATCACAGCTGGGCCTGGTGGCTCACACCTGTAATCTCAGCATTTTGGGAGGCCGAGGCGGGCAGATCACTTGAGGTCAGAAATTTGAGACCAGACTGACCAACTTGGTGAAACCTCATCTCTACTAAAAATACAAAAATTAGCCAGGTGTGGTGTTTAGCACCTGTAAGTCCTAGCTACTTGTGAGGCTGAGGCAGGAGAATTGCTTGAACCCAGGAGACAGAGGTTGCAGTGAGCCAAGATTGCGCCTCTGCACTCCCAGCCTGGACGACAGAGCAAGATTCCATCTCAAAAAAAAAAAAAAAATCACAAATCAAACTACTGACAGATAGATGCTTGGGTTATTTGTGAATATGCATACAAGGAAATAGACCATTATTCTTGATAAATAAGGAAAGAATGGCATGATTTTGTGTAGTTTAGAAAAATGAAATTATATCTAGATTGAAGAAGATAATCCTGGATTCTTAATAGAACTTACAGCAGAGTAGTCCCCACATGAAAAGAGAAAGGAATATCAAGGAGTAGAGGACCATAACATAGGAGAGAGTTTGGGTTGTATAGCTCATTTTACAAGATCCTAGTTGAAAGGAAGTCTTTTTTGCAATTTGCTCTTTTACATAGTTTTTTTTTTTTTTTTTTTTTGAGGCGGAGTCTCGCTCTGTCACCCAGGCTGGAGTGCAGTGGCATGATCACAGCTCACTGCATGCTCTACCTCCTGGGTTCAAGCAATTTTCCTGTCTCAGCCTCCCAAGTAGTTGGGACTACAGGCGCCTGCCACCATGCCCAGCTAATTTTTGTGTTTTTAGTAGAGAAGTGGTTTCACCATATTGGCCAGGCTGGTCTCAAACTCCTGACCTCATATGATCCACCTACCCTGGCCTCCCAAAGTGCTGGGACTATAGTCTTGAGCCACCGCGCCTAGCCTTTTACTTAGTTCTGTCTTTACTTAGTCCTCACTTTTCCTCTGAAATGAGTAGTTATTTCTGGATGACGTCTCAACTAACCATGGATAAATCTCTATCACTGGAACCTGATTCTATCTCCTTATTTATAATATAATAAAGATTGACCTCCTGGTAAAATAATTTAATTCTGCTCTTTTTAATTCAGTACATAGCAGATCTTGTGCCAAGAAGTTTACTTGCATTATCTTATTTAATCCTCATAACAGCCCTGCGTGTTAGGTGTTATAATTTTGTCCATTGTCAAAATTAATATTGAGTGCCTTTTTTTTTTCTTCATTCCTTTAGGCTGGGATTGAGTGCCTTTTATGTGCCGTGATCTAGTACCTGACATTTTAAAAACGATTGCTTTTCTAGGAGTTCACTAATTAGAGAAAAACATATAAGCAAATAATAGTGATAATAATGGTATGTTTTGAAAATGAGATCATAGACAAAGAGTGACCAACTTGAATTGTGAGTATAAAGGCATAAATTTGAAGAATGCTTTATAAAGTGACATTGGGCTGGGTGTGGTGGCTCACGCCTGTAATCCAAGCCCTTTGGAGGCCAAGGCGGGCGGATCACCTGAGGTCGGGAGTTCAAGACCAGCCTGACCAACATGGTGAAACCCCGTCTTTATTTAAAAAAAAAAAAAAATAAAGTGACATTGGAGCTGAGTCTCAAGGAATGGCTAGAAATTGACCACTTAGGTATGAGAAGGATGGTGTAGGTAAATTGCATATATCCAGGAAATGTGAAAACATAAGCAGAGAACTGGTTAGGAATTTACCTAGGAATGAAGCAGGAAACATCAGTTCTTGAAAGAAGGAAGAAGTTGGGATGGAATAGGTGGGTATTTGATGGTTGGTAGTAGGAAACAATAGTCTAGGGTGAAAATAAAGCTTAGAAGCATTGGAAAACATATTTGTTGTTGAATTTATATAGTCAGTTATGATGTAAAGTCACTGTGCTAGTACCAACATAGATATCTCTAATCCCTTTTCTTTCTGCACCTCTTTATTTCTCATGCCCTCCAAACTTCTTATTTTCAATTCATTGTACTCTTTTCTTTTCTTTTTTCTTTCTTTTTTTTTTTTTTGAGGCGGAGTGTTGCTCTGTCGTCCAGGCTGGAGTGTAGCACGGTGTCAGCTCACTGCATCCTCCGCCTCTTGGGTTCAAGCGATTCTCCTGCCTTGGCCTCCTGAGTAGCTGGGAATACAGATGCCTACCACCATGCCCGGCTAATTTTTGAATTTTATTAGGGGCGAGGTTTTACCATGTTGGTAAGTCTGGTCTCGAATTCCTGACTTCAAGTGATCTGTCCGCCTCGGACTCCCAAAGTGCTTACAGGTGTGAGCCATTGTGCCTAGCCTTGTTTTTTTATTTAAAAAATTTTTTTAGACAGGATCTCTCACTCTGGTTTCCCAGGCTGGATTGCAGTGATCTAATCACGGCTCACTGCAGCCTCGACCTCCCAGGCTCAGGTACCTTAGACTCCCGAGTAGCTGGGACTACAGGCATGTGCCACCATGCCGTCTAGTTTTTTTATTTTTTTATTTTTTATAGAGATGGCGTTTCACAAGATTGCCCAGGCTGGCTTCAAACTCCTGACCTCAAGTAATCCACCTACCTTGGCCTCCCAATGTGTTGAGATTATAGGCGTGAGCCCCAGTGCTCGGGCAAATTCACTGTACTCTTTTTTTTTTTTTTTTTTTTAAGACAGAGTCTCATTCCGTCTCCCAGGCTGGAGTGCAGTGGTGTGATCTTGGCCTCTGCCTCCCGGGTTCAAGTGATTCTTATGCCTCAGCCTCCGAAGTAGCTGGGACTACAGACATGCACTACCACAGTCAGCTTGTACTCTTAATGAACATTTTTCTTTACCAAATTTAGGTACTCATTAAGAATATTCCCAGGTTTTTTTTTAATATCTTCAGGTCCTTTGGTTCATAGTGTTTCCGTAGATTATCTAATTGAAGAATAAAGATATAGACTGTAGATGTTTGCTCTGTACCAAAGAAGAAATTAGTCTAAACCATTAGATCAGAAGGGTAAATTTTCTTATGGTTGAATGTTACATATTGAGTTGGAAATACCCAGAAATCTTTGTTCTAGCTTGTTTGCAGAAAGTTAAAGATTTACTAGTCAGTTTACTTAATAGTAAAATAAAACTATAATAAAAGAAATGTTTAAATATTTTTCTTGTGTTTCTTATGTCAAGCTGGAAAGTTTACGATGAGGAGAGCAGTTTTGTCTGATTAGATATCGTGCCTAATACATGCCTTGCATGAAGCAGTTGGTTGGTAATTACAGAGTGTGCACAGTGGTCAAGTGCATGGATTTGGGAGTCATTGGGTCTGGCTCTGCCACTTTTTGGTTGGATAACCTTGGGTAAATTATTTAAATTGTTTAAACATCAGTTTACTCATCAGTAAAATGGGGTTGATAACAATTATAACACCTAGCTCATAGGACTATTATGAGGATTAAATAAGGTGATACAAGTAAAGTTTTTAGCACAAGACCTGGTAGGTAGTAAGAAATAAATATGAGCTACTTGTCAAACTGAATTATTTTACCAGGTAGGACAGTTTTTATTATTATAAATAAGGAGATAGAATTAGACTGCAGTGATAGATCTTTATCCAAGGTCAGTTGAGACGTCATCCGAGGCTTTCTGACTCTTCATTCAGTGTAATACCAATATTTTTTTCTTTTGAGACAGAGTTTCGCTCTTGTTGCCCGGGCTGGAGTGCAGTGGTGCTGTCTTGTCTCACTGCAACCTCTGCCTCTCAGGTTCAAGTGACTCTCCTTCCTCAGCCTCCCAGGTAGCTGGGATTACAGGCATGCACCACCAGGCCCAGCTAATTTTGTATTTTTTTTTTTTTTTAGTAGAGGCAGGGTGATCTCCATGTTGGTCAGGCTGGTCTTAAACTCCCAACCTCAGGTGATCTGCCCACTTTGGTCTTCCAAAGTGCTGGGATTACAGGCGTGAGCCATCATGCTGTCCTAATACTAAGATTTTCTTGGTAGACATGTCTTTTTGTCTGCTAACATTTTACAATTGAAAGATTCATATGATTGATTTTATGACTTCCTTAGTGACTGCATCAGTACATAGGGCTTTAGGTATTCAGTATATATGCCTTTTTATTTATTTATTTATTTTAGTTTTTTAACCAAATTTCTTCTCACAGCTTTTTTTTTTCTTTTTTTGAGATGGAGTTTCGCTCTTGTCGCCCAGGCTGGAGTGCAGTGGCGTAATCTCAGCTCACTGCAACCTCTGTCTCCGGGGTTCAATCGATTCTCTTGCCTCAGCCTCTCAAGTAGGGATTACAGGCGCCCGCCACCACGCCCAGCTAATTTTTAAATTTTTTGTAGAGATGGGGTTTCACCATGTTGGTCAGGCTGGTCTCGAACTCTGACTTCAGGTGATCTGCCTGCTTCAGCCTCACAAAGTGCTGGGATTACCGGCGTGAGCCACCATGCCCAGCTTCTGTATATATGCTTTCAATTCCTGAAAGCAACTCGTTTTACCACCTTCACCACTCTCATCTTGAACTAAGCCAACGTAATCTTTTTTTTGTTATTGCATTATGCTGGTAACTGCAATACCTTTTTCTGCGTCTGTTCTTAATATAGAAAGCAAATGATTCTTTTAAAATGTAAATTATTAGATCTTGTAATTCTCTGCTCAAAAACCTCCAATGGCTTTCCCTCATACTAGGATAAAAGTCAAAGTCTTCACAAGGGATCTTGTGATCTGGCCCATAGTAGCTCTCTGTTCCAGTTATACTTACTTTTTTATAGTTTCTCAAATATTTTAGGTACCTTCCTGCCTCAGGGCCTTGGCATTCACTTTTACCTCTGCTTGACATGTGTCTTTTCAAATATCCACAAAGCTTAATTCTTTACTTTCTTAAAGTTACTTTATCAGTAAGGTCCTAGTGATGTCTCTACTTTTAAAAAGCAGTAACTCCTTCTACTCCGTGCATATTTGTGCATTTGTTTATTTTTATTTTTATTTTTTTTTGAGACGGAGTTTCACTCTTGTTACCCAGGCTGGAGTGCAATGGCGCGATCTCGGCTCACCGCAACCTCCGCCTCCTGGGTTCAGGCAATTCTCCTGCCTCAGCCTCCTGAGTAGCTGGGACTACAGGCACGCGCCACCATGCCCAGCTAATTTTTTTGTAGTTTTAGTAGAGACGGGGTTTCACCATGTTGACCAGGATGGTCTCGATCTCTTGACCTCATGATCCACCCGCCTCGGCCTCCCAAAGTGCTGGGATTACAGGCTTGAGCCACCGCGCCCGGCCTATTTTTTTTTTTTTTGAGACAGAGTTTCACTCTTGTTATCCAGGCTGGAGTGCAATGGCGCAATCTCGGCTCACCGCAACCTCCGCCTCCTAGGTTCAGGCAATTCTCCTGCCTCAGCCTCCTGAGTAGCTGGGATTACAGGCACGTGCCACCATGCCCAGCTAATTTTTTGTATTTTTAGTAGAGACGGGGTTTCACCATGTTGACCGGGATGGTCTCGATCTCTTGACCTCGTGATCCACCCGCCTCGGCCTCCCAAAGTGCTGGGATTACAGGCTTGAGCCACCGCGCCCGGCCGTGCATTTGTTTATTACCTGTCTTCTTACACTGTAATGTAAATTCATACAGACAGGGATTTCTGTTTCGTTTACTGCTGTTATCCCCAGCTCCTAGAAAAATATTTGCTGTATCATATGAGCTCAGAAGATGTTTGGTAAGTAAAGTAGTAGTAGCTTTGAAACGAAGAGGTAGTGTTTTCTTTGAGGACTTAATTCATTCTCAAACAGGAACTGATTTGACAGAATTTTTATGCTAAAGAATTGAAATAACTAGATTGACCCAACTTTTCTTATTTACTTGTTGCCTTGGGCAAATTATTTAATCCCTGAGATTGAATTTGCCAATAAAATGGAGAATCCTTGTAGGGTTGTTGTAAGGTTAATAGGTAACTCTATAAATGATGGTTGTGTTTTTATTTTTAGTCTATAGCAGGACTGTTGCTAAATTTGGAATGAGTTTCTCATTTAAAAGAAATCATATGTAATTTCCTGAGTTAAAAATAATCTTTTTGTCAGAAGCTGAAGCCTGTCGAATATTGTAAATCAATTTGAAATAAAACTAAGCATTGCTGAAATTTCAGTGTAAGGCATTAGAAACTTAAAAAATTCCACATGTATTTACTGTGTTTGTGTAATTTTTTTTTGTGTGTAGTCTTCTGTGTAGAATGTTGACTTCAGTTTCAGATGTACAGGAATTTAAATTCAGTGTCTTCCACTTAATAGTGCTATATCCTTATAAAAGGTAGTGGCTGTATGGGCTTCTTTTTTCACATCTATAAGATGAAAATCTAATCGGATGATTAGGGGAATTAAAATGACAAAGTGTATGTTAAATACCTTGCATAGTACCTGGCACATAACAGGTACTCAGTAATTACTGTGTTTTATCAGTATTTTGAGAATACATATACGATGTATGAGTGAAGTTCTGTGACTGATACTTCAGTGTGTCAGAATTGTTATTCCCTTCAGTAGTGACCTCAAGAGGTTATCCCCATGATACTGTGATTGGAGTGTTTTTGAAACTCAACTTTTGAAATTTCTTCCATAGATTTGTGGCCCATTCTTTTGAAATCCCCAATTCAAGGACAGATTTAATTTTTTTTATAGTAATCAAAATGGCTGCAAGTTAAGTTTGAAATCAATTTGGGGACAACATTGGACTAAGACTAAATAAGGAAGACTGCTTTTCTTTTTTTTTCTTTTGAGATGAAGTCTTGCTCTGTTGCCTGGGATTGAGTGCAGTGATTCGATCTCACTCGCTGCTGCAGCCTCCGCCTCGCAGGCTAAGACAATTCTTCTGCTTCAGCCTACAGAGTAGCTGGGATTACAGGCATGCGCTGCAATGCCCAGCTAATTTTTATATTTTTAGTAGAGACTGGGGTTTTCGTTGGCCAGGCTGGCCTTGAACTCCTGACCTCAGGTCATCTGTCCACCTTGGCCTCCCAAAGTGCTGGGATTACAGTCGCCCAGGCTGGAGTGCAATCGTGTGATCTCGGCTTACTGCAACCTCTGCCTCTTGGGCTCAAGGGATTCTCATGTCTCAGCCTCCCAAGTAGCTGGGATTACAGGCATGTGCCACCATGCATGGCTAAATTTTGTATTTTTAGTAGACACTGGGTTTCTCCATGTTGTCCAGGTTGGTCTCCAACTCCTTAACTCAAGTGATCTGCCAGCCTTGTCCTCCCAGAGTGCTGGGATTATAGGCATAGCCACCACACCTGTCCTGACTGCTTTTCTTACTTGGATTCTACAGATGATACTAGATGAATATTAAACATAACTTAGCATTAACATGATATTGTTAGATACTGTATTGAAGTTAGTATGTAATTTCCTATGATGACTATTTTGAAAAAGGACTACTGTCTCTTGGGTACATACATTTATTAAAAACTATTACTTTAGAAGAAGAAAGAGATAAAGAAGAAACCTTCAGTGTTTATTTCTGTCTATTTACATAATAGTATTATTTGCTTATATAGTCAATAGTTTACTCCTCTGTTTTCTGAATAAAATATATTTTTAAAAATTATCTCTTCAGCGATCACCAGAATATACCAATTGCCGCTATCTGTGCAAACTTTGCTTAATACACATTGAAAATATCCAGGGAGCTCATAAACATATAAAGGAGAAACGACATAAGAAAAATATTTTGGTAAGTTCTTTTTGAAAAGTGCTTTTATTTATTTTTCAAATTGTAAAACCATATCAAATATTTTTTATTTGTGAAAATAAATATGAAGTATTTTTCCAAACTTATATTAGTAACTGGAGTGATAGCTTTGGAAGCTGTGGTTGCTTTCCTTATCTGAGGTTATCAGAAAGGAACCTTCTTGAGACCAGTTTGTTCACCCTGTAGAATGTTGATTCCTAAGTTGAGAGCGGTCAGGTACAATCTGTCTATCCAACTGATGTTTATTGATTTCTTTTGTGCTAGTTCTAGGCAGTGCGAATAAGATAGTTGTGGTTCTTGACCTAAGATTTTCTAAGATTGATGAGGGCATGCATTGAATAAAGGTTTAAGTATAATGAGTCTTGTTAAAGGGGGAAGATTGCACTAAGGAAGTATACGAGAATATTTTACTTGATCTAGAACAGGGGCGGTTTCTCTGAGAAAGTGACATTTGAATTGAACCTTAAAGTAGTAGTTTAAATGGCAAAAAGGTGAGTGGCCTAGAAGGCTAAATGGGAGAGTATTTTACACAAAAATTAGCATGAATTAAAAGTCTTTGGGCAGAAAAAGACATGGTATATGAATAACTTAAAGTCTAGTATGATTGGAACAAAAAGAGAGTTGGGGGGAAATGGTATGATACAAAGCTGGAGAAGTGCAGACGATTAAGAACCTTATAAGCTTTGGGAATTTGTAATTTTTCAGTTGTTTCCATAAAAATATCCCATAGACATAGATATGAATAAAATCCTTTTAAAAATATATTCGTAAATTAGCTATTTAATTTTTTTCTTTTTAAAGTTGCAACAACTGTGTAACCTCTTATCTATAAGTTTTAGCTCATATAGCTTCTTTCAGAAGTATTCTACTTGACCCTTTCAGCAAGTCTGGGTTGGATACTCCTCTGTGCTCCCATAACAACTTTCATATACCTTGATCAGAAAGCCTAACATACTGTGTTCTGGCTGTCTTCTTTCTCTTCCTTTCTAGACTTCAGTATGCAGTATTCTAGAAGGCATATTTAATTACTTATTTTTGTTTATGAGTTGCTTAGGTCAGTGTTTGACACAGTGCTCAATGTAGTTTTCTTGAAAAAAATGAACTGAAGCAAATAGAACAGGGAGAAGGCAGTAGTTTAGGTGATAATAATTAGGAATTTCCCAGAAATATTGGAAGATGCCTATTACTTGTCCAGGAAGCTTGGGTTTGCAAGCAAGGAACTTTTTTTTTTTTGGAGATGGTCTCACTCTGTCGTTTAGGCTGGAGTGCAGTGGCACGATCTCAGCTCATTGCAACCTCCGCCTCCCAGGTTGAAGCGATTCTCCTGCCTCAGTGTCCCAGCTAGCTGGGATAATAGGCACGGGCCACCATGCGTGGCTGATTTTTGTGTTTTTAATAGAGAAACACAGGGTTTCACCTGGGCAAGCAAGAAACTTAAAAAGAAAATCATACCTAGGCTGGGCATGATGGCTTAGGTCTGCAATCTCAGCACTTTGGGAGGCCACGGCAGGCAGATTACTTGAGTCAGGAGTTTGAGACCAGCCTGGCCAACATGGTGAAACCCTGTTTCTAATAAAAATACGTAATAATTAGGGGCATTTCTACTAAAAATACATAACAATTATTTGGGCATGTGCCTGTAATCCCAGCTTCTTGGGACTTCACTTTAGCCTGGGCGAGACAGTGAGACTCTAGTTCAAAAAAAAAAAAGAAAAGAAAAGAAAAGAAAAAAAAATTACAGCTATATACCTTATCCTAAATGCTTGGGACCAAAGTATTTTGAATTTTTTCAGATTTTGGAATATTTGCATTATACCTTAATGAGCATTTCCTTTGAGCATCATGTTGGTGTACAAAAAGTTTCAGATTTTAGAGCATTTCACATTTTGGATTTTCAGATTAGGGATGCTCAGCCCATATAGGGAATCTCTGGAACATTACAGAACATTTACAGAAAAGAAAGCAAACTTGAATGCAGCCATATAGGACTTCTACTTTTGGTGAAGTTAGAGTAACAGTGGATTTACTTGTCCCTTGAAATGACAAAAAACAAACAAACAAAAAACAAATATGAAGCAGTGGTTTTCAGGCAACAAAGGACAGTCAATGCATGAAAAACGAATGATGTGAGCCCAATGTTTGCTGTAGCTTGAGAGAGTTTCTAGGTTGTACTACAGGGAAGGGAACCCAGTGAACTCTCACTGTTGAAGAGAGGGACTTTAGAGTCCACTAAGTCCAAGATAGCTAGAATTCACAGGACAGTGTAACTAAAATGAGAAAACAGCACAAAAAGAAATCCAGAGATCTGTGGATGGTCCTCTTAAAGCTACAGTATGGTCCAGTAATTTCACTTCTGGGTATATACTTAAAAGAATTGAAAGCAGAGTTTCAAAGAGATATTTATACACCCAGGTTCATAGCAACGTTATTCACAATAGCTAGTATGTGGAACAATTCTGATATCCATTGATGGATGAATAGATAAGCAAAATGTGTTGTGTTCTTACAATGGAATATTACTCAGCCTTAAAAAGGATTGAAATTCTGCAATATGGTACAACATGGATAAACCTTGAGAAATTATGCTAAGTGAAATAAGCCAGTTACAAAATGAAAAATAGTATATGATTCCACTTATATGAAGTTTGTAGAGTAGTCAGAATCAGATAGAAAAGTGGTTGCCATAGGCTTGGAGAAGGGGAAAATGGGGAGTTATTGCTTGATAGATGTAGAGTTTTGGTTTTGCATGTGTATTCTGTATTAGAGTATTTGGATTTTATTTTGAGCATTGTGGAGTTAATAACATATTTGTTTTTTTTTTGGGACGGAGTCTTGCTCTGTCGCCCAGGCTGAAGTGCAGTGGTGTAATCTCGGCTCACTGCAACCTCTGCTTCCTGAGTTCAAGCAGTTCTCCTGCCTTAGCCTCCCAAGTAGCTGGGATTACAGGTGTGTGCCACCATACCTGGCTAATTTTTGCATTTTTAGTAGAGACGGGGTTTCACCATGTTGGCCAGGCTGGTCTTGGACTTCTGACTTCATGATCCACCCGCCTTGGCCTCCCAAAGTGCTGGGATTACAGGCATGAACCACCACGCCTGGACATAACGTGTATTTCTGCAAGGTCACTCACCCTGGTCTCAGTGTGAAAGAAGCCTGAGAAGGGTCTGTTTGGGAAGACCAGTTAGCCTTTCATAATAATCTAGTTAAGCTATGATGAATATTGACCTGACATAGTAGTTAGAATGGAGTTGAGCTTTAAGAGAGATTCAGGATGTAGAATTTTGGGAGTAGAAGCCTAGGATGTTTTGATTTGAGATGTTATCATAGATTGTGGTATGGTTTACTTAGTGGAAATAAAAAAGAAAAATGTTTCATAACTTTCTGAGTTTGAGACACTTATGGAACATTTCAAGCAGAGATGTCCCACAGTCATTTGAATATAAGGATCTGGAACTTATATTAGCAGTTGGAGATTCAGGTTTGGTAAACTTCAGCAGTTGAAGTCATAGATGTGGATGAGGTCACCAAAGGAGTAAGGAAAGAAGGTCAAGGAATACAAACATTTTAGGGACTAGTAGAGGAAGTGCAGTGCATAGATTGGTGAATGAGGAGAGTAATAGGAAAAATAGAAAGAGGAAAGTGTTAGAGAAGCCAAAAGAAAGGAGAGTTCCAATATAGTAGTTGAAAGTGAGATAATACAGATAAAAGTAATCTAAAAGCTTAAAGACGTCTGATTTGGTGTCTGTAGTCTCAGCTACTCAAGATGCTGAAGTGGGAGGACCACTTGAGCCCAGGAGTTTGGGTAACATAGCAAAACGGTGTCAATTAAAAAATAAATAAAAATGTAAAATGTCAGATTTGGCAGCTAATGAGGTTTTGATAATCTTGGAAGAAGAGCTTCTGTTTTAGAACTAAAAAAGACATCGTTTTGAGTGAGGAGGGATGAGGAAATAAAAGGAGAATCGACTCAACTTTCAGGAAACTTAATTGTGCAGAAAAGAAAGGAAGATTGGTAATAACAATAATGACACACAGTTTTTTTTTTCTTTTAATTTGGCAGAGTGAAATTCTCATCACAGTTTTAATTTAAATATTAATTTAATTAATCTTTCTCTTTTGACTGTAAGCTCCATGATGGCAGGGATTATATGCATTCTTTTTTCTTCATTATAACTCCATTGCTTAGCACTGTACCTGGCATATAGTTGTTCCATAAATATTTGTTGATTAATGAGTTAAATGGAGTGGAAAGAGCATATGCTTTGGAATTAGAACTAGATTTTATTCTCAGTTACACCTCGTAGTTGTAGGAAGATATTTAACATCTGTAAGCCTTAGTTTTCTTATGTATAAAATGGTTTTGGTTGTATCTACCTGGGGAGGGATATTGTGAGAATTAAATGACATAACACCTGTAAAGCACTTGGCAAAATGCCAAGTCCATAGTAGGCATTCAATAAATGGTGGTTGTTGGCCTGGCGTGGTGGCTCATGCCTGTAATCCCAACACTTTGGGAGGCCGAGGCAGGCGGATCACCTTAGGTCAGGAGTTTGAGACCAGCCTGACCAACATGGAGAAACCCTGTCTCTACTGAAAATACAAAATCAGCAGGGTGTGGTGGCACATGCCTGTAATCCCAGCTACTCGTCAGCTGAGGCAGGAGAATTGTGATGAGCCAAGATCACACCATTGCACTCCAGCCTGGGCAACAAGAGCGAAACTTTGTCTCAAGAATGAATGAATGAATGAATGAATAAATAAATAAATAATGACAGTTGTTGCTGTTACTGTAGAGATGAAGAGTGCTTGCTTAATGTGCTGGGCATGGTGGCTTACGCCTGTAATCCCAACACTTTGGGAGGCTTAGGTGGGTGGATCTCCTGAGCTCAGGAGTTCAAGACCAGCCTGGGCAACATAGTGAAATGACATCTTTACCAAAAATAAGAAGGAGATGATTACTGAGTAGTAAAGAAAGATAGAATTCAGAGCCTAGGTGATAGTATTAATCATGATTTAAATGGAGCATTTCATTATGTTGGAAAGGAAAGGTATGAAGGGTTCTCTGAATATTGACTTTTAAGCTATACTTTGAGGGATGGTTAGTTTTACCAGGTGGATACACATAGGGAACAAAATGATTAAAGGCATGGAGGCCCAGTAGCACATACAGTATTTGGAGACTGGTGACTGTTTAAGTGTGGATGTCTGCCAAAAATATTGGAGCGGGTGGAGGGAATGGTTGAAGGAAGGCCTAAAAATTCAAGTTGAGGCCATATTGCTTTATATACCATGTTAAGAAGATGTTGCACTGTCTTATTGGTGCCTTGAAGGTTTTCTTTTTGAAATTTTTTATTGCGGTAAAAAATATATAAGATAAAATTTACCATTTTAACCATTTTTAAATATACAGTTTAGTGACATGAAATACATTTACATCATTTTGCAGTAATCTCCACTGTCTGCCTTCATTCAGAAATTTTTTATCATTCCATACTGAAAGTCTGTATCCATTAAACAATAACTCCCCATTCCCCTCTCCCTACAGTCCCTGGTAACCACCATTCTATTTTCTGTTTCTATGTGCTTGTCTATTGTCCTCATATAAATGGAATCATACGTTTGTCCTTTAGTGCTTATTTCACTTAGCATGTCTTCAAGTCAACCATGTTGTAGCATCTCTCAGAATTTCCTTCCTTTTTAAGGTTGAATAATATTCCATGGTATCTGTATACCATGTTTTGTGAATCCGTTTCATCCATAGATGGCCATTTGGGTTATTTCCACCGTTTGGCTGCTGTGAATAGTGTTATTGTGACCACTGATGTACAAAACCTATTTGAGTCCTTTTTTTCTTTTCTTTTCTTTTTTTTTGGTATATACCCAGAATTGGAATTGCTGGATCAAATGGTAAATTCCTGTTTTAAGTTTTTGAGGGATTGCCCTGCTGTTTTCCACAGTGGCTACATCATTGTACAACTTTACCAGCAATGCACAAGGGTTCCAATTTTTCCACATTCACACCAACTCTTTTTGTTTTCTGTTCCCTTCCACTAGTAATAGCAATCCTGATGAATATGATGTGGTATTTCATTGTGCTTTTGATTTGCATTTCTGTAATGATTAGTGATATTTAGCATCTCTTCATGTGCTTATTTGCCATTTGACTATCTTTGGAGAAATGTCTGTTCAGATCCTTTGTTCGCTTTTGAATTGGGTTGTTTTCTTATTGTTGAGTTTAAAGGATTATTTATGTATTCTGGATATTAATCCCTTGTCAGATGTATGATTACAAATATTTTCTTCTATCTTGTGTGTTTTCTTTTTACTTTGTCAATAGTGTCTTTTGATGAACAAAAGTTTTACATTTTGTCCAGTTTTTACTTTTGTTGCCTATGTCTTTTGTGTCATACTCAAGAAATAATTGCCAAATCCAATGTCATGAAACTTTTCCCTTCTATTTTCTTCTAGGAGTTTTATGATATTACATTTCCTAGTTATGGCTTTAGCTGTAAGTTTAGGTTTTTCTTTTTTTGTTTTTGAAATTAGGTCTCTCTCTGTTGCCCAGGCTGGAGTGCAGTCATGGCTCACTGTAGCCTCTACCTCCTGCACTCAAGTGATCCTCCTGCCTCAGCCTTCCAAGTAGCTGAGACCACAAGTGTATGCCACCATGCCCAGCCAATTTTTTATTTATTTTAATTTTTTAGAATTTTTTTGAGAGGGAGTTTTGCTCTTGTTGCCCAGGCTGGTTGTAGTGGCACAATCTCGGCTCACTGCAACCTTCGCCTCCTGAGTTCAAGTTATTCTCCTGCCTCAGCCTCCCAAGTAGTTGGGATTACAGGCATGTGCCACCATGCCCAGCTAATTTTTTGTATTTAGTAGAGACAGGGTTTCATCATGTTGGTCGGGCTGGTCTTGAACTCCTGACCTCAGGTGATCCACCCGTCTTGGCCTCCCAAAGTGCCAGGATTACAGGCGTGAACCACTGTGCCCGGCCTAATTTTTTATTTTTTGTAGAGGTGAAGTCTCAGCTATGTTTCCCAGGCTAATCTCAAACTGGTTGGCTTCAGCAGTCCTCCTGTCTTGGCCTCCCAGAATATTGGGATTACAGCTGTGAGCCCGTGTACCTGGCCTAGTTTTAGTTTCTGATATATAGGTCTTTGATCCATTTTGAGTTAATTTTTGTATGTGATCTAAGGTCAGAGTTCAGCTTCATTCTTTGTCATGTAGATATTCAGTTTTCCTGGAACATTTGTTGAAAAGACTGTCCTTTCCCCATTGAGTGCTCTTGGCATCCTTGTCAAAAATCATTTGACCATACATGCCAGGGTTTATTTCTGAGCTCTCTGTTTTTTGTTTTGTTTTATTTTGTTTTTTAAGACAGAGTCTTGCTCTGTTGCCATGATCTGGGCTCATTGCAACCTCTACCTCCCAGGTTCAAACAATTATCTTGGCTCAGCGTCCCAAGTAGCTGACAGTCAGGCATGTGCCACCACGCCCGGCTGATATATATGTTTTTTTTTTTTTTTTAGTATTGATGGGGTTTTATCATGTTGGCCAGGCTGGTCTTGAACTCCTGACCTCAGGTGTTTGGCCCACCTCCGCCTCCCAAAGCGCTTATAGGCATGAGTCACTATGCCTGGCCTGGGCTTTCTGTAACTGATTCCATTGGTCTGTATGTCTGTCTTTGTTTTTATTATTATTTTTTTGAGACAGGGTCTTGTTTGCTGCTAAAGCTGGACTATATTGATGCAATCTCAGCTCACTGCAACCCCCACTTCTGGGGCTAAAGCCATTTTCACCTCAGCCTCCTGAGTAGCTGGGTGGATCACCTGAGGTCAGGAGTTGGCGACCAGCCTGGCTAATGTGATAAAACCCCATCTCCACTAAAAATATAAAAATTAGCTGGGCATGGTGACAGGTGCCTGTAATCCTAGCTACTTGGGAGGCTGAGGCAGGAGAATGGCTTGAACCCAGAAGGCAGAGGTTGCAGTGAGCTGAGATCATGCCATTGTACACCAGCATTGGCAACAAGAGCCAAACTCTGTCTGGAAAAAAAAAATGCCTGTGTTATATTAAATAAAAGAGAGCGACTATGGCTCAGTTGTGTTAAAAAATGAAGGAGGTAGTAGGATATGAGATTATAGGTTAATTTTCTTCTTTGCATTTTCCTATGTTTTATGAAGCTTTTGTAATTAACATTTTTTGTAATCAGAAAATACATTAATTTATAAAAGTCATTGCATATGTATAGCAAAGTCTCTCTTTAGCTCCTAGATTTAAATTGGCTTTCAAACTTTTAGCAGGATAGAGGTTTTTTTGAACATTTTGCATAGTGTTGGATAAAATCACATGGAAAAATCACTGATAAATAGTTGACAGGTAGTTTTCCTGTGACCATTTAACCTGATACTGTATATGCTGATGAGATATGATTCAAGAGTTTTCTGTTACATCTAAGACAGTCTGCCTTGGTGCAACAAAATAATCAAGTAAGTATTATGCTTATGGTGCCTTGGCTTTAATGTAGCATTTCTCAATTTATGCAGATAATACAGTGGAACAAACTTTTAAAAATTTAGTAGCATCCCCTCCCCATACAGTACCTCTCATTCTTAAAATTCTGCTTCCCAAAGGCAGAGGTCTCTGTCTCTTTTGTTCACCTTTATATTGTAGGTATCCGGTAGGTGGAAGGTGAATATTTGTTGAGTTAATTTATATCTGTCTTTCCCTGCTAAATAGAAGGACATTAAAATGGAATTTTTTTGTTTTTGTTTTTATTGTTGTGAATCATAACATTAATAGGAAAAACAAGAAGAAAGTGAGCTTCGTTCTCTGCCACCTCCTTCCCCTGCCCACCTGGCTGCTTTAAGTGTTGCAGTCATTGAATTAGCCAAAGAACATGGAATAACAGATGATGACCTCAGGGTCCGTCAGGAAATTGTGGAGGAAATGTCAAAGGTTATAACAACTTTTTTACCAGGTAGAAATACATTTCATATTTGATTTTGAAAATCACCAAACTCTTCCCTTTACTCCTTTTGAACTAGGGTGCGTTTCTTAATGTTTTCCTTCTCCTTTCTCCTTAAAAGTAGATAAGTTTTATTGTCTTATCAATGAATTTTGGGGGAAAATATTTCACACAAGGAAATTGAGAATTATGGCATAGCGCACTTTTGTACTAAGAAAACAGATTTTTTTTTTGTTTTGTTTTAAGACGGAGTTTCACTCATGTTACCCAGGCTGGAGTGCAATGGCGCGATCTCGGCTCACCGCAACCTCCGCCTCCTGGGTTCAGGCAATTCTCCTGCCTCAGCCTCCTGAGTAGCTGGGATTACAGGCACGCACCACCATGCCCAGCTAATTTTTTGTATTTTTAGTAGAGACGGGGTTTCACCATGTTGACCAGGATGGTCTCGATCTCTTGACCTCGTGATCCACCCGCCTCGGCCTCCCAAAGTGCCGGGATTACAGGCTCGAACCACCGCGCCCGGCCTGAAAACAGATTTTTAAAATGCCAGATGTAGGCTGGGTGCGGTGGCTAGTGCCTGTAATCCCAGCACATTGGGAGGCTGAGGTAGGTAGATCATGAGGTCACAAGTTCAAGACCAGTGAAATCCCATCTCTACTAAAAATACAAAAATTAGATGGGCGTGGTGGTGCACATCTGTAATCCCAGCTACTCGGGAGGCTGAGGCAGGAGAATTGCTTGAACTTGGGAGGTGGAGGTTACAGTGAGCCAAGATCGCTCCACTGCACTCCAGCCTAGGCGACAGAGCATGACTCCGTCTCAAAAAAAAAAAAAAAGAAAAAAAAGAAAAAAAAAAAATGCCAGATGTAGAATGATTTCCTAGCGGTCAAATATTTTAGTTTTTCAGTATCGCTGATTTCTGAATGGACTATTTTGTCAACATTATTTTCAGTATAAACATTTCATACAGTCACTGAACTAAATTTCTATTGCTTGATGGTGGGGAAAAATTAATTTACTTTTAACAGGGCCTTTAGAAAAAGCTTACTGTTTGATACGAGGGAGTGTCAGATTTATTTTAGATATTATATATGGACTATTTGCTTAGCTTATGTCTTTTTTGCATAAGTATAGGGTTAAAGTTAATGTATCTAAAATAAGACTTGTTTCTTCCCGCCAAAGGGATTTTGGAAAGTTCATAAGTTTTACTGTCATATAGATCAATTTTTCGATTTATAAGAAAGAATATGAAATTGAAATTTACAATGGAATTTTTAAAGTATTTATATCAAAATATGGCTTTCTATCTAAAATACATTAAATCCTTATTTAAGTTACAATGTAAAAATCATTTACTATGATAAAAAAAGGAAATTTTTATGGTTTTAGTTACTTGAATGACTTTCAGACATTTTATCAACTTGAAAAGTAAAGTTTTATATATGCAACTGACGATGAAGTTGAACTTTCTTTTTTTTTTTTTTTTTTTTTTTTTTTTTTTAG